CCTTTTCCCCATGATATTTAAAAAAGAAAAGCACTCTTTCCTCTCCCTCCTTTCCCTCTCTCTGTTTTTATCCCTCTGTCTCTTTCTCTCCATCTCTGTCTCTCTGTCTGTGTTTCTCTCTTTCATTGCATGTGTGTGTGTGTGTTTAGGCTTAGGAGTCACCATTATTTAAAGGGCCATGTGGGAAAATCAGCTCTCTTGCTTGTTTCTCTTGAAATCTCAGGGGCACATTCAGCAGGGCTGGAAATTTTTATTCCTTATAATGAATTTTTTTAACCAATAAATATTAACCAAGTTCTAACTGATTGGAGTTTTGTAGATCAATGGGAAAGGGTGCATGCTAAATAATGAGGAATTCAATTTATAATGTTTAAGTGTCCAGTGCATATTAACATAAAAGGATATGTGCTGCAAATTAAAAAAAAAAGCAATGTTCCTTCTTCCTAAGTAGCTTACAATCTAGTATCTTCTTCAAAGCAACAAAAGTAGATGGTTTAACCCTATTTGAGGAAAAAGAATCAAAGCTGTGAAGCAAGAAGTATAAATACCAGTAAGTTATCCACATAGGAGGATAAACTGTACATATTTATGACTAATGGCAGCACAGTCTCCTCATCTTTGTTTCGACTCCAACTCATACAGTCATGGAAATTATTGCTGTTAGATATATAAAAATATTGCATCAGATCTAATGCGTGCCGATTGGGGGAAACTCACTCTAAATGGGACCATAATACGAAACTTTGTGACAGGGTCTATAAGCTTCTCAGATTTGGCATGGTAATATGAGGGTCTATGGCCTGAAGTACTCTATAGAATTATATAATAATTTTACCAAAAAAGAGAGAATTAAGAAATTAGCAGAGAATTGTCTTTATGACATTTTTTAATGTTTTATCACTGGTCAGACTTTTTAACTGTAAATAATAAACCGAGAAAGAAAACTGTAAATGACAAATGTTCCTCCACATAGAACTCATGAAAATGAACACTTTTGTGAAGTGGTTCTAAGAAGAAGGAGAACATAGCAAAGGCTTACCTATGCTACATCAACTTCAAACACTGAAGAGCCAAAAAGGAAGTCAAAAATTGTTTAGGTTAATTTGGTCATTTAAAAATAACTGAAAGGCAAAAAAAGCTGAAATGTCTTTCAGGATCAAACTGCTGGTTGAAAATCTAGGTTTTAAAACAGTTCTTCTGTCAGCCCATCCTGTGTTCCTGTATTAATACTAGCAGAGCCCTTTTATCATTGTTGTGCTGCAGACAAGGTGCCTTAGTTAGTGCGACTCAGGCACCAAACTCCATGACTATATGAAAGATCTTACCATCTCCACTTCTATATAGTCAAAATTCACTTCCCCTAGTCCCCTTTCCACCCCATCTCCAATAGCAAATACTTTAAAGCTTTCTTAGTACTATTTTGCTTAAATAAGAAAATCATTAGAGATAAGTCTACTCTTTAACAACTTAATTTTATAAGTTATGTAATTAGAAAGTCAAATCAAGAACTTTACAATTCTAATACAAACTGTGTCTTCTAGTGTGCCTTGTTTGTTTTCCCATGTAACTCAGGTACTTATATATCTTTGTTATGGATTGTAAATTCTACCCCATCGCTTCCTTATTTTTTCTCTTCTTCTACCCTGAATTCCCCAGATTCCCACCATACACATTCAACCTGCAAGGGTATGGAAAGGGTCTAGAGGAAAGTGTTTTTCTTCTTAGTTTTACTACAGAGAAGTGAATTTCCTGATTTATACCAAAATCTCTAGAGATGTAAATAGAATAGTGAAGAACTGATATGAGATATGGTATTCTCTCCCACTCAGTAAATAGTTCATAACTCACTGGAGACTGAAAAGCTCCATTTAAGACATTAATACAAAGACTTGAGAAGAACGTCAATAGCTCACTTTGCCTACAGATTAAAGAAATAGCACATGGGTATAGAATGGATTAATTCCAAAGTTGCTGAGTTTAGATAAATAAATAAATAGAACAAAAGATAAAAGTACACAGGCCAAAGTCATACATATACATATTCTATATCTGCACAATGCACCTTTATATTTTGAACAGAAACATTTTATGAATAGCACTTAGTTGTATTTTTATAAGGTTTTAAAAAATCTAGTCTTTAAACATTTGACTTTAATTTAGTCTGATCTTTCTCTAATATAAGATGATTACAAGAAAAATATCTGTTGCAAATATCCTAGGTTCAGAGTGGTCCTCCAGAGGTTTACTGGACTAAAGACATTTAGAAATATCTTTAGAACTAAGTGGACTGTCACCACCAAACTGTCACCTCCATGAAAGGAGAAAAGCCATAATCAATCATCTTTCACTGTACAACATATATTTAAAATGCAGAATGCAGATGCTCCCATAAATTTCATGTCAGTAGTTTTTGTCATATTACAATTTATATGTAACAAACAAATACCCTGGTAGTCTGGAATAATTAATATGGCTTCCAAGACTTGTGCCTTACAGGGCTTATGGCACAGCTATGGAGAAGTAAAGATCTATTTTTCAGTATGATCTCTCTCCTCTTTTTCCTTAAGTAATATGTTTGCTTGATTTTAAAGTAATGTTTCTCTTTCTCCTTGAACTTTGTACTTAATCAATAAGTAACACAAAATGGCACTTCCTTTTTGTGTATAAAAAGTTATAATGTTCACATAAGTCAATCCTTAAACTTTGTCTTATAAATATAGTATAGATGATTTTGGTGATAACCTGAGTCAAGCTGTATTTAACACGAACTTAATATCCCACTCGAATTTATTTTTAAAAATTGGCATTTAGTGAATCAAATATATTATAGTTTATGAACACAGTAAAGTAAAGAACTAAAGGTTTAGTTCAGGTTGAAAACAAATGTGAGGAGATCCCTTTGATAATACATTAAATATTTTAGAAGCACTAACAACTCAGGTGCTTTTATAATGTATGGTTGATTTATTAAAAGCTGTCTGGGTAGACCCTTCAAAACACTATTTAGCACATACTGTGTAATATTATATCTTTCATAAAAACAAAAAATAATCCCATTTCATTTGATCATAGTTTGAGAAGCATCTGTGCCTCTTTGGTTTAATTCTTCATTCTGTGTCAGTGGACTTGATATTTTGAAACATAATTCTCAATTAAATTGTATTTTATTTATCTGTGTGTATAAACAGAGCCAAAGAGATATCTCTCCTTCTCCTTTCCCTATTATTGACTGCCTCTTGCAAGAGAAAACTGCTAATAATTTAGAAGTTATGAATTTGTAAGCCTTTGAATTTCTGTATTATTCATTAATCTGATTATCATGCTGTGTATGTCACTGCTTAAATGTACAACATGGCAGGGCTAGAAAAAAGAGTAAGGTATTTTACTTTAACACCAATTTGTCGATTAATGCTTTCTCAGTAAAACCACAGCCTATTACTTATGAGCAAAGGCTATGGAATTGAAGTGGATTTAAATTCTGGACCCATTGTTTACTGCATAGGTGACCTTGAAGACTTCCTCATTTGTGAAATAGGATAATGATAGTACCTTCCTCATAGCACATGTCGCAGGATTATCTAAGACAAGGCATATAAGGCACTAACATATTGCCTGTCACTATAGCAGTCATCATTAACTAATGGTCATTTAATTTACATTATCATTTAAATATCAGTTCCATAGTTTTACATATTCATATTACCACATGTTTTAACTGTACGATATGTCTCAATTTTATGCATAAATACACTTAATATATAGTTTGATACATATTACTGTAATACAGTACACATATATATACCCAAGAATGCACAAATGTGATTATGAAGTTTTCCTACTGAATCCATATATCTATTGTTTTAACAACTTTATGAGTAGTTATATATTTAGGAAGTCAAACTAAACAAGAGCTTCACACTGTCTTCTAGTGTTTCTTGTTTTGGATAATACATGATCCAATAGCTAAAAGAAATTTACAGTCATGTGCAGTTTAACAAGGGGATATGTTCTGAGAAGTTAGTCACCAGGCAATTTCGTCACTGTGCAAACATCATAGAGTGCACTTACACAACCTAGATGGTGGAGCCTACTACACACCTAGGCTACATGGTATCACCTATTGCTCCTAGGCTACAACCTGTATAGTATGTGACTGTGCTGAAAACTGTCAGTAACATGGCACAACCATATTTATGTACCTAAACGTATCTAAACATAGGAAAAGTACAGTAAAAACATGGTATAAAAGATTAAAAATGGTACACTCATATAGGGCACTAATCATGAAGCCTGCAGGGCTGGAAGTTGCTCTGGATGGCTCAGTGAGTGAATGGCGGATGAATGTAAAGGCCTAGGACATTACTGTACAACACGGTAGACTTTATAAGCAGTGTACACATAGGCTACATGACATTTTATAAATCTTTTTCAATAATAAATTAATCTAGAGTTAATGTAATTTTTTTATTTTATGAACTTTTAAATTTTCTTAACTTTTTGACATTTTTATAACAACATAGTTGAAAACACAAATATATTGTACAGCTATACAAAAATAATTTTTCCTTATTCTATAACTTTTTGTTATTTATTATTTATTTATTTATTACTTTTTTAACTTTTTGTTAAAAGCTAAGACAAAAACACCCACTTTAGCCTAGACCTATACAGAGTCAGGATCATCAGGATGTCACTAGGCAACAGGAACATTTTAGCTGCTTCACAATCTTATAAGATCACTGTCATATAGGCAGTTGTCATTGGCCAAAAGACTTTATACAGCACATGGCCATACTCGTTTTGCCATATAGCTAGCACATTTATCTTTCCTGTGGAATTGTACAATCTTCCCCCATTATGCTGGACCCTCATGATTTCCCAGTGTATTTACTAAGCTTCACAAACTACTGTAAAAATGCTGATTCAGTGTTGACTTTTTATAAAATTAAAATTCATTTTCACATGAAATTAACATAAGTACTTAAAACTGAGTTACATACCTGAATTCAAAAAAGGCAGGTTCTCTTTTCCGCTCACACTTTCTGGGGCTGTATATTCACATACGAGGGCACACTAGGAATAAAATGTAAAAAACAAAATTGGAAAATAATTAAAACAAGAAATGATATTCTTTTATTTTCTTTGCAAAACATGAGGCTATGTACATGGTCTCAAAAGTTTTGAATACTTTTATAAAACTATTTCTAGCCTTATCTTTACTATGAAGAGTGTTTAACTTGTGATTTACTAAATGTATATATAATATGCTTATACAATGATAGAGGCTACTCAGGAAAGAAATAAAAAAGAGAAAAAGGATTATCTCCAACACGCTAGAGATATGTTCCCCTAGCACAGTAAATCATATTTGACAAGCTGAATCATTTTGTATTTCTTTCAGCAGAGCTAATTTCAGATCAATAGAAAGCAAATTATTTTCAAGAGTTTAAGTAATTGCAACTTTAAATAAAAGACAAAATATGTTAAAGCCACTAGTTACATAAAGCAAAAGAATATTTGGTCTCCAGAAAAACAATGCAAACACTTGCTCAAGAAGTATGAGGACCATTTATAAATAAGCTGATCTCTGGAATCCATAATGAATTGATTCAGCTCCTGACCTTTACAGTACTGTCAATCTCTCAACAGAAAGAGAGAAGAGACATAGACGAGGATATAGACATGTTCCTAGTGAATGAACCATGATGAGAGAGAATGTCCCAGACAATTTCTCACTAAATGTGATACTCTCCCTCAGTGTCTTATGAAACTGTAATGAAAAGAGGAAACAGAATTCTTTTGGCCCCAGGAATTGGACAAGATCTTTCTTCACATAGGCAGATTCTAGCATTTGTGTCTTCAAGTGAGTTCCCTTTTTTCTCTAGAAAAAATAGGGGGGTGGGGGTGGTGCCAGGGAAAAGAGGAGAATGAATTTTCAGAGCAAATATGCTAGATATAAACAGGCAAATGCAAAGAAAACAAAGCAAACATACACACAAAAATTGCAGAAAGTTATTTTGGTGACAAGGTCTAAGGGAACCAGCCAACCTTCTGTAAGTTTTGCATGGCTCTGCTCAAGGGTCTCTGAGGGCTCAGACCAGCTTCTCCAAGGTTGTATCAGCCTTGGTTGAGCTATTTCCCAACTGTTCTGTCTCCCTCCACCTCTTCTTCCCCAGGCACTGGCCCCCTTTAAGAATCATGAACACTGAGGTCACTTTTAACAATGGAATGTATACATTCCTCAAACACTTTGAGGAAGCAGACAAAGAATTCAAAACACTCATCTAAATGTTACTTTCTATTATCTTATAGGCTACTGCTTATTCTACAATCACAACATTCATCCCATTACTCAGGAAATTTCTTGATGGGGAGCAAAAGTGCTTGCATAACTTCTTTACTGAGGTCCTAGTTGACTGAAAGAATAAATGACTGAAAATAGCTCTTAAAATTTGATGTTCTCTAAATCACATTTCTGACCATCCAGAAGTCAGAGGTGCACTTTTTTAATCCACAGCTAGTTTGGAAATGCACTTCCTAAATCTCTAGAATGATGCTCAATGATACCAGAAATATAAAAAAAAAAATATGTAATTTATCCTATTTTTAACATTTCCTCTAATTCCTTTAGCTTATATATGGCTGTTAAAATAATTTTTCATAAATATTATATTCATTGTATGAGTGTTCTACTCTATAATGAATAATAACTACTTACTGTCCAGTCAAATCCAATATTCTCAGGCTAGTCTGCAGATCCTTTCATAATTTGCTCCTGACACCCTTCCACATAATAAGCAGGTATTATATATGCCTATGATCCATCCTTCTTTCCAAAAGAGGATCATCACCTACAATATAACTTACAGAAATGGTTCAGATTGAATACATTTAGTGAAAACATTCATAATTCATAAAAATCAGGCCATTATGCTGAGACATTGCTTTCCTATATGGAAGGATCCCTACCTCCTTATAATCAAAGACAACTTTATGTCCTAACAGAAGGTCTGTATCATTTTACTAAATCAGTACACAGAAATATGGCTTTCATACACTCAACTCTTCCATCCAATTTAGAAGGCAGATATTTGGGACAATTTCAACCTAATTGCATTCTTATTTTGCAATTTTATTGTAGTTTAAAAGTTTACTTACTATTCAGAATATTTTCAAGTTTTAAAATCATGGTATATAAACAGAAAATACTCAAACAGGTATTAAGTTAATTAATATATTCATATTTAGAATCAGTATTTTCTTCAATTTTGGTAACTTGAATTGTATACATAGACTGATGAAGTGACATGTGTTGGCAGATCGAAGAGAGAGAAGGAAAAAATCAGGGAGATTTTTAAGTCATTACTGTAAACAACCAGGTGACAGACAACATTGGTAGCAGTGAAGGGGCCAAAAGTTGTTAAATTCTGGTTTCATTTAGAAAATGCAGTCAACAGGATTTGCTGACATATTAACCGGGAGTTTATGAGAGGAAGAAAGGAATCAAAGCTGACTCCCCAAAAAAGAAAAAAAATGTTTTAGATACCTAATGCAATATTAATCTACTATATTAGTTTTGAAAAAAGACAATTTTAGTATTTATTTCATAATTTTTCTCTCAACTACTATGTGATTTTAATGTTTTATCATCTATTGCTATGTGTGCATATATTGAAGTTTGAAGCAATCTAATATGGTAAATGACCCTCTGAGCAATCTTCCCTTGATAATAAAGATGTATTCACAATATGATTTGTGGAAACAAACAAGCAAAAGAAAGTAAACATATGTGAGAAGAAAGAGTTCGGATTTTCACTTATATTTTATTCCATGCTCTGAAATTTAAGACTCAAGATTAAAATGAAGTATTTTATGTAAAGGTACTGTTATGGACTGAACTGTGTCTTTCAAAGTTCATATGTTGAAGACCCAACCTCCAATATGACCATATTTGGAGACAAGGACCTTTATGGAGGTAACTAAGACTAAACGAGCTCATAAAGATAGAGCCTTAATATTACAGAGCTGATATTCTTACAAGAAAAGGAGAAGATACCAAAACACTGTCTCTCCCTCTCTCACTTCCTCTCTCTCTTCCTGCTTGTGCACAGAGGACAGACCATGTGAGAATGTAGCAAGAAAGCAGTAATTGAACAGGCTGGCACATTGATCTTGGACTTTCTAGCCTCCAGAACTGTGAGAAAGTAAATTCCTGTTTTTTAATCCATACACAGTTTATGGTATTTTGTTATGGCAGCCCAAGCTGAACAATATCAGTATCAGGCTTTTATTTGTTTAAGTCTACATGAGATAACGTGTCACTTTCATGGCACATGATTATAGTGCTAATAGAAGTTTCATTCCTTTCTCCCTAGCTCATGCACACCATGAGCGATATTATTTTAGGAATAACCCCTATTTCATTTACTTTCTCTTTCCATAAATGACAGTCATTCAGGTCTTAAATCACCATTAGTAGCAGATAATATTAATTTATTTTCTGTTGATTTTTGTTTAGCAGATTTCAAGGGTACATGAATATGCAGTTCTAAAAAACGCTCTAGGTGTTTCTAATCACAGTTTAAAAAAAGCTGAGATAAAGTTATTTACACAATAAATGTCATGTATGTTGGGCCTTACTATTTTTCTCAAATGTGAATATTCTTAAAGATTGCCAAGACAGCTTATTAAAAAAATTGCAGAAAGGTCAAGGTTTACAAATAATCCAGACAGGGCAGCACTGATGCCAAAATGTTTGGTGTGTTTACCATTTTAGTCAGCTTATGACTCATACACCGTGTGTACTGCCACTGCCACCTGCTATTTCTGGAACAGCTCAGTTAAGTCTTTTTTAAGTTCATGTTCTTAAGCCAGAAACACTCGGTAGGATTTGGGTGGGGGCATTTTCCTAGGTACCAAGTTCTCCATTTATGAAAAGAGCATAATTCATTTTGCACTACCTTATCTGTAGTGACATAGTCTGGAGTTAAAGAGTGGGCTACTTTTGAGGAAGGTGGAAAAGTGGCTGGTAATATATTCAGACTCAGAAAAAGGAGCTCTACTTTGAAATGGGAAATGTTTCTGCTACTGGTCTCCTGGTACACAGTTAGAGGTCTATGTATGATTATCTGCCTATTTCTGATCTGGGTTCCCAGTTTAGCTTCCAAATCCTCCCTCCTTGATCTTGAAGCAAGTGTTCATGTGATAGTGACAAAGATGAGTCTTATATACAACTACAAAACAAGCAAGGATGGAATGAAGAAATACAGCCCTAAGACAGGGTCTTGAATGCATAAACCCAAAGAAAGTCTGCTCCAAGACATGACCACGGCCGTGATATTAGTAAATGACCTGATTTTAACCATGGATCTTCTTAGAATATTTTTATAATGTGGGATATATTCCAAAGGGAGGAGAGGATAACAGAGAAGAACAAGGTTTAGGGCAGCAGAGAAGACTCTAGTTTATTCTGGGAAAAAGAAAAACAAATTGAAAGAAAATATTTGATATTTTTATAAAGCACATTCACACATCTACAACCATCTGATCTTTAACAAACCTGACAAAAACAAACAATGGGAAAAGGATTGCCTATTTAATAAATGGTGTTGGGAAAACTGGCTAGCCATATTCAGAAAGCTGAAACTGGATCCCTTCCTTACACTTTATACAGAAATTACCTCAAGATGGCTTAAAAACTTAAACATAAGACCTAAAACCATAAAAACCCAAGAAGAAAACCTAGGCAATACCATTCAGGACATAGGCATGGCAGAGACTTCATGACTAAACCACCAAAAGCAATGGCAACAACAGCCAAAGCTGACAAATGGGTTCTAATTAAACTAAAGAGCTTCTGCAAAGAAAAAAAAAATACCATTAGATTGAACAGGCAGCCTACAGAATGAGAGGAAATTTTTGCAATCTAACCAGATGACAAATGGCTAATAGCCAGACTCCACAAAGCACTTAAACCAATTTAGAGGAAAAAATAGCCAGACAAAACCCATCAAAAAGTGGGCAAAGGATATGAACAGACACTTCACAAAATAAACATATGAAAAAAAGTTCAT